ATTAAGCCCATTCAATATACTTATGAGGACGTTGAAATTATTATCGGACAAGACTACTACCACGCCGTTAGACCCATTGAGTTCATCTTGGGAGATGATAAAAACTCACCGTGTTCCGTTCGCCTACCGATAGGTTGGGTCTTAAGTGGTCCGTTGCCGCCGTCCGGTAATTCTACTTCTTCGTGTTTCAAGTGTGTTGTTGAAGATTCTTCTCTGACCGACCAGATAAAATCCTGGTACGAGTTGGAATCGTATGGTGCTTTCAAACAAGTCGATGCCCGTTCCGCCGCGGATAAACATGCTTTATCCATCCTCAATTCTGAAACCGTTCACAATGGCGAAAGATACATTGTGCCTATGCTTTGGATTGATAGTAATGTCAGTCTACCAAACAATTATTACTCGTCACTCGCCCAATTTAAATCATTGGAGAGAAGGTTAAGTAAAGACCCTGAGCTGCGCGAAAGATACGCAGAAACAATTAGAGAGGACATTAGGAAAGGCTATGTCGTTACCGTCGAACCGCATGATCCACGTAAGCGTTCCGATCGCGAGTGGTATCTTCCGCACCATCCCGTCGTAAATCCGAATAAGCCGGGTAAGGTGCGCCGAGTCCTTAATGGGGCTTCTAAGTTTCACGGCACATCCTTAAATAAGTCCTTATTGGTGGGTCCTGACCTACTCCAAAATTTAATTTTTGTGCTTTTGCGATTCCGTCAACATAAGTACGCCGTCTCCGCGGATATAGAGGGTATGTTCCTCCAGGTAGGAGTCCTTGCCCGCGATCAAATTTCGCTCCGTTTTTTGTGGCGGGAGGATACCACTTCCGATGTGGTAGTTCATCAGTACACTCGCCATATATTCGGCGCACGGGATTCACCTACGTGCGCCAATTTCGCGTTGCAAAAAACAGCAACTGATAATATGTCCACATACCCTGAGGCCGCCTCAGTCGTAAATGAAAAGTTTTACATGGACGATTACTTGGATTCATTCGAGAACGTTACCCAAGCAATTAAAACTAGTCGCGATTTGGTTTCCTTACTAAAATTGGGAGGATTTAATTTGACTAAATTTGTCAGTAATGCTGATGAAATCACTTCAGCAATGAACCCCGAGGAATCCGAAACCTCATCTTCACCCATCAAGGAAATATGTAACGGTGCCGAACGATCATCACACGTCTTAGGTCTTAAGTGGGACCATGTGAAAGACACATTGGTTGTTAGCAGAGGCGTGGATCGTCCTCTCGATAAAGCAATAACTCAACGAACCGTCTTGAGTTTCGTCTCTTCTGTGTTTGACCCTGTTGGGTTAGTAGCTCCATACACAGTTAGGGCCCGTCTTTTACTGAAAGATATTTGGAAAATCAGTGGTCAAAGTTGGGACGACGAATTGCCAGAAGACATAAGAGATAAGTTTCTCGAGTGGCACTCCGGTCTCCCTCTCTTAGGGCAATTGACTATTCCCCGTTGTTACTTCACAGAGCCTGTTGATCAAATTGAGCTCCACATGTTCGGTGATAGCTCGCAGGACGTTTTCTGTGCTGTTGGTTTTTTGCGTGCGCGACTCGCGAGCTCGCATAAAACTCAAATATCCTTCATCTTTGGTAAAGCTCGCGTTGCGCCCATGAAAGCGCTATCGATACCGAAGCTAGAGCTTCAAGCTGCTCTGCTCGCCACACGACTAAAAGATGATATACTGACCGCCCTTACCGTCTCTATTAATCATGTCTTTATGTGGACAGATAGTACAACAGTTTTGCAGTGGCTAAACTCCACTGAAAAATTACCTGTATTCGTCGCTAATCGTGTCGGCGAAATCCTCGAGTCGACCACTATTGATGAGTGGCACCATGTTCTGAGCGGCGATAATCCAGCTGATACCGGTACGCGGGGGATTTCTTCGGAAGCCCTCAAGGATAGCAGCTGGGTTATTGGTCCGAGCATTCTCAGGACTACTGATTGGCCGTTTTTACCCGACGAACGTGTAATCAATAAAATTCGTTTGAAGGGTCCTTCTTGTGATGTTGATAATTGCTTGGAGACATCATCTTCCTTCGTCACCGATGTCACATCAATAAAACATCCCGAACACGGGTTCAATTGGGAAAGGTTCAGTTCCTTTACAAGATATAAACGAGTAGTCGCTTTTATGTTGAGGGTTTTGCCTTCACATAAGCATTTTCGTGGTAAAGACTTACGAATCACCGACCCCACTGAACTTGATATTGCAGAAAGCAAACTGATTCATCTTGCTCAGATGGAATCCTTTCCCGTTGAGTTAAAAACACTCACCGCTGGCAAACCTATTAAGAATAGTAGTAAAATTGCCACATACTCGCCATTTATTGGTCCCGCTGGAATCATTCGTTCCACCGGACGGATTGTGCGCTTAGTGGATACCGAGTTTGATACTAAGCACCCAATAATACTCGATGCCCGACATACCTTAGTTCGTTTGTTGGCCCGCAGCCTCCACCATAAGCATTTTCATCAAGGATTAGATTACATGCGCTCCGTTTTAAATATGAAATTTGCAATACTTGGGTTGCGTCGACTACTTCGGTCTGTCGAAAATCAATGTGTGACATGCCGTAAACGCAAAGCAAGTACCATCCAGCCAATTATGTCCGATTTACCGGTCGAACGTCTCGGATACAAGCAACCACCCTTCAATCATACGGGTGTGGATTACTTTGGACCGCTTTACGTTCCGGTTCGCAGAAGCACGGAAAAAAGATGGGGATTCCTTTTTACTTGCCTCACCACCAGGGCTGTACACCTTGAGATTGTACCGTCTCTGGACACCAGTTCGTGTGTCATGGGCATTGAACGGTTCGTTGCGCGCCGTGGTACGCCAAGCACAATCTGGTCGGATAATGGCACGAACTTCGTTGGTGCGGAAAAGCAATTACTTGCCTGCATCAAGAGCTGGAATGGCATGGCTCCGACCATTTTTGCACACAAAGGTGTTACTTGGAAATTTAACCCGCCAGGCGCACCCCATCATGGCGGCTCCTGGGAACGCCTCGTCCGAAGCGTGAAGCGCGTGCTGTACGATATCCTAGGCAGTAGGCGAGTCACTGAAGAGGTGTTAGGAACAACACTCTGCTTAGTTGAACAGGCTTTGAATTCGAGGCCAATCACTCCCGTTAGTACCGATTCACGTGAGTTAGAAGCGTTAACCCCAAACCATTTTTTGCTTGGACAACATGCCACAAGCTTTCCTTCGCTTTTACCCGGGGAGCACTTCGATCACAAGAAAAGGTACGTGCGAGCGCAGTCATATGCTAACGCGATTTGGTCTCGTTGGCTTCGAGAATATGTTCCCTCGCTGAATAAGCGTGTCAAGTGGCACACTCATTCTGACTTCACTCTTAAAACAGGCGATCTCGTGTGGGTGATTGAGCCCGATAGTCCGCGTGGGTACTACCCTCTCGCCCGAATCGTCAAGCTAAACTACGGACAGGACGGTTGCGCCCGATCCGCCCTTGTCAGGACCGCAACCCGTGAAGTCACGCGGCCGACCGTTAAGCTCGCTCCGGTTCTTCCTTCTTCAGGGGGGGAGGATGTTGCAATGCAAATGTAGAGTATAGAATGTAGAGTATAGATGCATATAAAACTGAACCAAAATGTAACAACAATAAGCACAGTTGGCCGAGTGGCCTAAGCTAACGCCGATTATACAGGTTAACAGTTGACGTAGGTTCGAGTCCCCCACCTGCCCATGTATTAGTATACTAAAAACGGGGGTTACATCCTATTTTAACTGTTTTTTGGTTCTAATTCGGTTCAGCCTTGATTAAGGTTGACCGCCAAAAAGAGCAATTTGTCTCAAGGACATTACCGACCGGTTCTTGTGGCTAGCTTGCGCCGTTTTGTACAAAAAACGCTCAGATGCAAAAAATGTTATATGATGTTCTGATCAATAGAAAAATGCCGAAATTATTTTATTGACCGAGTTATTTGCCGAGAAATATCTCTTACTAATTTACGGATTTGGAACAGTTTTTTTTGGAGATTAGCGAGCACAATTTTGTCAACTTTTTCTGGGTTCGTTTTCATACGGAGTTTGAGTAACAATAAAATTGATTTGGATCTTTTTAAATCAATTTTTGTCCACTTTTTCCAATATTTCTTTGACACAGATTCTTTACAGATTATATTCAGGTTTTCTCTGTTATCAAACAGTAAAGAAATTTGGAAATAAATTTTCAAGGCACGCTTTTTAATTTCGTGTTCAGGTTTGGCCTGAAAAAGACTTTCCCTCAGAACAAAAAAAAATAGTTACATTGAATCAAGTTTGATTGAAATTAACTTTTAAGCCCTTGATTTTTTTCTTCCGTAAATTTACATACAATACCATAGTAAGTCATTTCACGTATCAAAATGGGCAGTCGTAAATTGATTTCAGCCAGTTATCTGTAGAAAATTAATTTAAATCGATTTCAACCTCAAGGGTGTCAGTGCGCGTAGACTCTGTCCAAAATCCTTTATTATAATTATGATTAGCAGGCGCGGATTTAGCTATTTCTCGAGGGGGGATTTTCAAAAAAATTTGGAACATTTTGTCGAACTTTTTTTTAAGTTCGACCAAATTGATTTTCTGAGCTCTCCCAAACCACAATAAAGACCCTAATTTGAACAAATTTTCTGCGCCGCAGGAAAATTTTTGAAAAAACAGGCCATAAAAAGCTTTTTAGGCACTTTCTGGAAAATTGCGTTTTTTCGGCGCGCGCTCCCCCTTCAAAATTAGTATAGATTGCGCCTTTAGAAAAACTTTTGGTCAGTCGGCCAACAATGGAAATCTCAAAATAAAACAAAGGGGTGACCCTTTGGGTCGGCAGGGGTCAAATCTCTGAGGAGGGAAAATCTGATGCGTCCATAACCCCCCCGCCCACCCCCTATATCCGCTATTAATGATTAGTATTGTTATTAAAATTGTCTACCAAAGTTTTTGGAAGTTGTTACATTAGCGACTATTTTGTTTTGTTTCAGACGGACTAATCCGGGACTTAGTGAGTGTGGACGATGAGGAGGCTGGGAGGGAACTGACGATGGCGAAACTGGCATCAATTAGGGAGGAGCTACTTCAGGTTAGAGCCTTTAATTGGGTCGGAGCTATTCTCACGACAGAAGAACCAAATGTGGGAAGTTCTCAATTATTTAAAGTGCTTTAGGCTGTCTAAAAGTGACATTTTTTACGGCTGAATTCATTCAGATTGTGAATGCTGAATCATAATTGGCTACCCTAATTTTTGGGCGTTCCGGTTCTTCTGGCACCCAGAATTCGCCCCTTTTTTGTGATTATTCAGCATGAGTAATCAGAGTGACCCAACAAACTTGCGGATAAAGAATTTTAGAAGGGTTTCATTGCATATTTTTGGCATGGCATCAATAGCAATAGCAGGACCTTCGCCTTTGTTTTCCCAGTCGCTAGAAATTTTTAGCGTTTTTCCATGGCTCCTCTTTTCAGTTCTCTTACAGAACATAAATCTTTAGTCACACTGTACCAAACTTATTCTTACGCCCTGACCGGATCCGTTCACTTCTTGCGAAGTGAACGGATTTTGAAAGCAGCTCGAAAACTTATTACCTATTTTATTGTACAAACCTCCTTCCGACTTCCTTTTTCAGTGTCTTTTTACATGCCATAATTGCTAAATGCGCGGTTTTCCCTCTAGGTATCAACAACAAATTAATTCAAAATTGTTAAAATTTGCTGACCATACAAAGTTGTATTGCCTTAAAATTTGATGAAATTTGTTTTCAAAGTTTAAATTCGAATGGGGCAATAATGCAAAGAACCTCTATAATTCATAATCGTTATAATTAGTTTTTCAATATCATGCTGAATCGTTGAACTTCATGAAAAAAATTGAGTACGCTTCATTGAGTTCAATTTTCTGGCAATGGCTTTTGTTTCAGGTAGCAGATTTGGATGGAGACGGACAGCTGGACAAGTCAGAGCTGGAGTACTTCCTATCTGTGGGCAAGAAATTCTAGAACATTCCACTCCTTAGATTGAGAATATTATGAGTATTCTACAAGGTGAAACGCAAAAAAATTGAGAAGAATTCTACAGCAATAAGGGACTCAGTATCACGGAAAACACGAATTGTCACTTTATAATTCATCAGCTAAGAAAAAAACGCTTTCGAAATATTTCAATATTCAGCATCGTCTCAATTTATTCAATTTATTACTGCACAATTTACATTTCTGACGCTCAATTAATAACTTATGAAAAGTTACCGAGAGAGCACTGTATGCATAACGACTTGTCAACTTATTCGCTCATCAAATGAACATTTTGAGGAACTGAAACACTAAATCAAAAGTACCAAAGCAAGATCAGATTAATATGAAAGCGAAAAGAGTTGCAGTCACAGTTTGCAATTTAAAAATTGAGTGCTTCCAAAAACGTTTGAATTCACACAATAAAAACCATGTTCTTATAGTCTTGTTTTCAAATTGATAGAGTCTTCTTCAATTAGTTGGATGGAATATTTCTAAGATGAAAGTGCGAAGGAGAGCCAGGGTTGACAGAAAAGGCTAAACATGCAATTCCATAAAATAAGTCTATGAAAAATATTAATTATACAAATTTCATACATTTTGCTAAAATGGAGTAATCGAATTTTCAAAGAACTTTTTTCTTGTTTTGACATAAAAGTCGGTTTATCGCATATATCAATTAAATTACAAACTCTACATCAGGAATGCTATACGGTCCAAGTCACCTAAAAAACAATAAATAGCACTGAAAAAAAAATTTACCGAAAATAAAACAGAAAAAACATCCTTTGATTATCGCAAACATAATGTTACAACTCAATTTCAGTCATAAAGAGAACTTCTTTGCGAATCATATTGGTATCAACCAAAAACTTTGCATCCATTGAAACCTAGTTTTTCATTTTTGTAGTTTGACAGCAGGTATAATATTATTATTTGCAATTTTGCTCTGACTTTTCTTGCGTTCATCGGTCTGCAAAACCAACCGGGGCGTTCTGTGTATACGCTCGACTACTGTCCCTGTATGCAACTATAGTTAAAATTTTTTATAATCAACTATAGTTCGAACGTGTAATTACACTAGCTCAGCAACATCCTCACCCCGAAGAGGCGAGAAGGAGGAACTTTAACGAGAGGTCTTACTAGCTGGCCCCACAGGATCTTAACTGTTGCGGAGCGAACGACGTTATCTTTGCCGTAGTGCGAAACATTTACTCGACCTAAACGGTAGTGCCCACGAGGGCTGCTGGGATCGACAATCGAGACGAGATCACCAGTTCATAAATCGCTGTTCGAATCGGCATGCCACTTTAAGCGCTTGTTCAAAGAGGAGGCGTACTCCTTCAGCCAACGCCGCCGAATAGCTTTTGCATAAGCTTGTGCTCTCAAATAGCGTTTTCGGTGGTCGAAACTTTCATCAAGTGCTAGCGATGGACAGCTAACAGAGTGCTCTTTCAAGATAAAATGGTTAGGCGTTAATGCTTCTAATTCAGTTGTATCGGGACCAACAGGCATGATTGGACGGGAATTTAATGATTGCTCCACTAAGAAAAACTTTATCGACAACACCTCATCCGTTAACTTGCGAGTTTCAATGACTGCGTAGAAAACGCATTTGCAACTTCCCAAGACCCACCCTGATGCGGCGCGCCAGCAGGGTTGTATTTCCATTTAATTCCCTTGTGCACTAACAATGCGGGAGCCTGTCTGTTTCAACTTTGTACGCAAAGCAGAAGTTCTTGCTGAGCTCCATAGAAATTGGTACCTTTGTCAGACCAAACAACACTTGGTGTACTACGGTAGGCAAATAATCTTTCAATCCCCATGACGCAAGAGCCGATGTACATGGGCGGAACAATTTCGATGTGCACGGCACGGGTAGTCAAGCAGCTGAACAGAAAAGCCCACCTTTTTACACTGCGCGAATTGTCACGTAAAATGGACCAAAATAATCCATCCAAACCACAGTTAATAAAAGGCCGATGGTTGTAACCAAGCCGTTTGACAGGGAGGTCTGACATCATAGGCTGTAACGTGCTTGCCTTGCGTTTTCTGCAATTAAAACAATATCTTTCGATCGCACGCAGGACCGCTCGCAGACCCAACACCACAAACCCCATTTGTACTATGGACCGCAAATTATCCAAGTGTTGGTGATTGTGGAAAGTAAAAATGTCTGAGAATCAATTTCACCGAGAATTTAAGATGATGGGATGCTTAGTTTCAAAGCTTATTTCGGCTAAGTTTTTAAACCGTAGTATGGAACGAATGATGCTACCATTGCCAATAAACGGTGAGTATCCTGCAATGCGACAAGAATTTTTTATGGGTAAGCCAGATTAAAGTTGTTTGAAATCAATCCGAAACACTTCAGATTGAGCCAAAACTAAAAATTTATCTTTCACAATTACTAATTCGTTCGAATCGGTTATTTGAGCGGTAGACCCGCGGAAGTGCCTGTGTTTCGGCAATGACCTCAACATAAAGCAAATGTTATGCTGCAGTTTCGAAAGACTACTATAGTTCTACCAAACAAAAATGGGCCCTGGCCGATTAGAAGTACTTGTGAGAGCATGTGTCGACTTGTCTATGGTAACGTCTTCTCTGAAAGGATTTTACTAACAATATCCAAATTTGGTTTGAAAGGCCACTCGTTGCCTAAAAGCGAGCTTGGAACGCTCACACAACTGCTGTCTTTGAGGCATTCCGCGGTATTATCTCCACTATTCACTTGGAACCATTGATCCACATTGGTCCCTTCCTTTATTTCACTAACATGGTTTGCGACAAATGTGGATAATTTATCGATGGAGTGAAGCCATTGTAGCACCGTGGTGCAATCGCTCCGCAAAAAGGTGCGGCTTGCATCGAATGAAAGTGTCCGAAGTGTATCGTCCTTCAAATTAGATGCCAGTAAGGCTGCCTTCAATTCCAGCTTCGGAATGGACAAAACCTTCCTTGGTGCTACCCTTGCTTTATCAAAATCAAACACAATTTCTGTTTTTTGAGTCTCCGCGCAAAAAGGAAACCAACCGCGCAAAACACATCTTGCGAGCTATCCCCAAACATATGGAGCTCACCTTGATCAAACGGATATTACTGAAGTAGCACCGGGTAACGACTAGTTCTCCTAAGACAAACAGGCGTGAATGACACTCAAAGAATTGCTTCCTGGAGCACTTCTGGTAAGGGATCATCCCGTTGTTGCCCAGTTATGCTCCAACGATTTTTAAGAACTAGGCGGGCCCTTACCGTGTAGGGAGCCACCAAATCAATAGGGTCGATTACCGTTGAAACAAAACTGAGAACAATGCGTTGTGTAACGGATGTTTGTAGCTCACGGTTAACTCCACGACAAACAACAAGAGAGTCACTTCCATGGATCCACTTTAAACCTTATATACTAGAGTTTAAATGGTCATTACCAACGCAATGTCCTTTACATTTGCAGTTTCATCAATTGTAGGGTTTAAATTTTCTTTAATTGTAGGAACATTACTAACAAACTAGGTGAGACTTAATCCTCCTAATTTAAGAAGATTCAGAAGGAGGTGCATTGCGTCATTGCGGTTTTTGAATGAATCCAAGTAATCATCCTCGTAGAACCTAGTAAATACTGCTCTAGATGCTTCAGGAAAAAATTCAATGTTATCCCTGGCGGTTTGCTGAAGTGTGAATTTGGTGGACTTGTTGGAGAGTCCCGAGCACCGAAAAAAAGCCGGGTACATTGGAGAACTTCCACATACGATGTGGCATCCTTGCGCCACAAAAAACGCAAAGAAGGTTGATCACAAGGGGGTACCCCAACCTGGAGGAATACACCCTCGATGTCCGCGGAGACGGCAAATTGATGTTGGCGGAAGCGCATTTACACGTGAAACAAATTTGGCATTAAATTAGGCCCAACGAGCAAAAATTTGTTTAGAGATTGGCCCGGAAGTTTTGACGCGCCATTTAAAATCCGACGAACCTGACCTGGCTTGTTTGGAATTAGGACAAGATAGTGGGGTAAATACCACTCACGGGCGGAGCGGAGCTGCAGATCGTGCGGTTTAACCGGAATGACAAAATCTTTATCGAGGTCCTCTTTTGATGTCTCAAAATATTTACTCTTTAAACCACTATCTTTGTCGAGCCATTTTTGAAGCGTCTTGAAATGTGTCACCTGTGAGTAGTAATTATTGTGTAAAAAATTGCTATCATCAGCCCATAACATTTCTACCCAAAGCAGTTAACCGTTATGTTGTTGATTCAAGACGGTTATGCACTCGCTGATCGGCTGCAGATCGAGCATCAGCTTGGTTGTATTTACCTGGGCTTTCTAACACTTACCACGTTTTAACTTAGCTAATAAATTCCGGCATTGCACTTCTTGAAACTTGTTGACAACAACCCAGATGATGAAGGGAGTGGGCCACTCAAAACCAATCATACAGGCAGACGAACAGCCATTGGATTTTCCTATCTGCATCATGAATGTAATCGAGCGTGCGTATGTGGTGATAAAAGTCCTGATGAGTTACCACTTCGATATTCGAATAAAAACACCGAACCGGCTTTATTAGTTCCAGGTATATATATTTTTCTTGAAGGGCCGGAGCATCAACCTCCGGCCCAAAAAGCAGGCCTTTGAGACCAAAAGTTAATTGCATCCTTTAGATAAGCGGTTATATTGAAGGTATAATCGGTGTTACTCATGTCAGCGGATAGTGTCACCTCGACTAACTCAGTCGAAATAATATCCGTTGAATTAAAACTATTTAGGTCAAATCAATTTTTTCCCTGACAAGCTCGGACAGCGGGCCAAGCCTGCGGAAAGCCAGGAGTGATTGCTCGCGGAATCACACAACGACGATTAAATTATTGGTTTTTGACTTAGATGAAACACTTAACTCAATATTCCGGAGAATACCTTTAACGACTGCACGGATGCGGAAAAAGAGGAGAATGTTTTATCCGCCGGTTATTTCCCAGAAGAAGACTTGTTTCGTTCCTTATGAGGAGCAAAATCGTGGTATGCACCATGCAAGAGGACATTGTGTGTTTTTTCGAACTCAGGTTTAGTGCATTCTCGTTGAAATCAAGGAGATTAGGGCAATACCAATTGCGCTTGACCGTGCAAGACGACCAAGAAAATTGGAGGCAATTCACACAAAACTGGATTCAAGATGGCGGTTTCTTTCAGAGCGTCCTCATATGACAACGATCGAAACACATCAACGAGATTTGAAATAACACAAGCAAAATTATTCATGCTTTCAGAACTGTGCATTTTGACTGGGAGAACGCTTTTAAGTTTTCGAGGTGGGCGCTCATAACGATTCGAAGTTGTCCAAATTTTCGTTTAAGAACCCTTACTTGATCCC